TGGATTAAACAGAGGCTACAGTTTAGGATTGGCGCCCAGTCAATCCTCCCCCGGCTAGGATACGAACCCAGGCCAGAGCGCTCGCGAAACGCCAGGCGAGTATGTTACCACTTCGCCACGGGGACGGCTATAAACAATTGTAACTTTGGCTTACTGATCTACAGTCGAGCAACGTCCAGCCAACAGCAACAGTCTGGGTGTTCTAGTTCAAGACTTAAATTACAAGGATGCTGTTTTAGATTCAGCTACTTAGAACAAAAATTCCAAAGTAGCACGGGCTATGGTGAGCCCGTAACTTACCTGGCACAGGAGCGGGGCAAGTAGCACGGGCTATGGTGAGCCCGTAAATTATCGGAGTTAATGACGCGATTTAAGATTAGCCTAATGAGAGTTTACTTCCTGGAAACTAATAAATAATTGGGTCTTACAAGATTAGTAACGGATTAACGGTTTGGTAGAGGGAGATCCCTAATCTCCGGGGATTAGCGAAGCCCATAGGATTAAAATAATCCGAACATTATTAATCGTTTAATTGATCTCTATCACACTTCGACAAGCATAATGTCCAGTAATTTAATTGTTATTTAATTGAAAAAATCCACAAGGGCCGTGATGAGGATTCGAACCTGCGTCCGAGAGCATCCCAGACGCTGCCTTACTTTGCTGCAGTATTACTTAAGCTGCCATATTTAATTATTGCAACTTAAGTTATTAAGTTTCTGTGACCAATTAGTACTTTTACCCCCAATTAAGCAGGTAGAATAACAGTAAACTTGGGAAAGACTATTGAACCATACGAGGCAGCTCCTCCCTACCCCCACCCAAGCTGCTTCACATGTTCCACCTTCGCTTGAAACAATACGACGAGCCCAGGTACGGAACCAGGTAATTTGTTTCATAAATATAAGAACATAAGAACAAAGGCAACTGCAGAAGGTCTATTGGCCCATACGAGGCAGCTCCTATCTATAACCACCCAATCCCACTCATATACTTGTCCAACCCGCGCTTGAAACTATCGAGGGACCCCACCTCCACCACGTTACGCGGTAATTGGTTCCACAAATCAACAACCCTGTTACCGAACCAGTATTTACCCAAGTCTTTCCTAGACTTCCGTTATATCACTCCATTATTTGTCCCGTCCTGGACAAATGGGGGTGGAATATCACCGCCAGGGTGATATTCCACCCCATACGCTGTTGGTTTAGATTTAGCTACACAGCCCGTGTCCATGTAGCACGGGCTATGGTGAACCCGTAAAGCCTATCCTCCTAAGGTGAGGGGTAGTTATAGCACCTCCAAAAAAATTCACGATTTGTATTTATAAATTTCAAATGACGTTGACCAGACCACACACTAGAAGGTGAAGGGACGACGACGTTTCGGTCCGTCCTGGACCATTCTCAAGTCGATTCTAACACAAACGACTTGAGAATGGTCCAGGACAGACCGAAACATCGTCGTCCCTTCACCTTCTAGTGTGTGGTCTGGTCAACATACTTCAGCCACGTTATTGTGACTCATCGCCTGCATTTCATATTGAATTACCGCGTAACGTGGTGGAGGTGGGGTCCCTCGATTGTTTCAAGCGCGGGTTGGACATGTATATGAGTGGAATTGGGTGGTTATAGATAGGAGCTGCCTCTTACGGGTCAATAGGCCTTCTGCAGTTACCTTTGTTCTTATGTTCTTATAAATACTACCATTTCAGGAGGCTGGGTTTTACGGGCTATTCATGCCCATGCCACCTCTTGGGTGGCTTAATCTTTATCAATCGAGGCTGGGTTGGCCATCCTGGGAGATTGGTGAACCCCGACAGAGAGAGTGCATCTTCTGCCAAACTATCACTGAAAAGCCATTACTTCACTATCTTCTGGAATGTGAAGCAACCAATGATCTTAGAAGAGCTTTAAGAGTTCCTGAATCATGCAGTGGCCACCCTGAAGCCATCAACACAGCCACTCTCCTGGTCAACAAAGGTGTCCAGCAGCTGGACACCCTCATAAAGACTGTGAAGCAGTATCCTCCCCCGCGATAACAGCTTGATGGTTAAATGCAACCTCAGAATACTGAGAAAAAAAAATTGTACCACTTACGGGCTATTCATGCCCGTGCCACCTCTTGGGTGGCTTAATCTTTATCAATCAATCTGGCCATCCTGGCCTATCCAGGGGTACCACCACCTGCATTGTCCCGTGTCGGCCCGAAAGAGACTATCCTCAGCAACTAATCAGTCTGCGATTGACCTTATCTCCGGTCAGACGTGTGGGGCTCTGGCTCCCATCGCTCCGATACTCTCGGTGGGATTTATATTGATAGTGTAAATTGCTGAGTGACGCCGTGGAACACTAGTGTGGTTGTTGGAGTGAAAATTATACGTGAACGATATACATCTAAGTAAATAATTACAGTTCTAGTAGAAGGAGCATTGCGGGATTGAGCACAAGACGTTGTGATCGCCAGTTTGTCGCTATAGCAAGACGTTCTGAATTCCTTGGCCATAGGGGGCTAGAAATAGCCTAAGCTACTCTATCCCTTTGAGATGTATTTATTGCTTATCTCAATAAACATACTTGAACTTGAACTTCCCTGGCCATATTACAGTTTTTCTGTACCGATTTGGCAGATCAAGTTGTTATTTTAGATTCAGCTACTCAGAATAGATCGTTCCAAGTAGCACGGGCTATGGTGATCCCGAAGATCAAGTTTCCGTGTTGTTTCTTATAAAGTAAGCTTGGTGTGGAAGGTTGAGTGTGGTTGTAAGTCGGTTCTCATGGAAGTACTTCCGCTACTCACCGGGATGAGTAGAGAAGTACTACCTTGAACTTGCTCACACACCGCGGACAGTAATTGCATTACAAGGTAAGTACTTACAATCAACATATTAATCATCGCATTGACATTGTTTAATAATATTTATATATATTGAAAATCCCCCCCCCCCACCCTTGTAATGTGTCGTATTATCTCACTACAGTTCAGTTGAATTCAACTTTTGACTTTAATTATTTTTTAAAATAGGCAGGCGATGAGTCACAATAACGTGGCTAAAGTATGTTGACCAGACCACACACTAGAAGGTGAAGGGACGACGACGTTTCGGTCCGTCCTGGACCATTCTCAAGTCGATTGTTTCGAATCAAGTCGAAATGTCGTCGTCCCTTCACCTTCTAGTGTGTGGTTTGTTCAACATACTTTGACAATCTTTCTCGGGAATTTCGCACATTTGTTTGTTTATTAATTTCTAGAGGCTAGTATGACCTTACTGAAGCTGTCTAGGCAGCCATTATATCCCCCTAGAGCCTTTTCCATAGTATTATAAGGCTCTTCAAAGAGCTAAGATTCCCTCCTTTTATGTTTAAATTCTTTATCAACTATAATATATTTGTTGACCAGACCACACACTAGAAATTGAAGGGACGACGACGTTTCGGTCCGTCCTGGACCATTCTCAAGTCGATTCTCAAGTCGACCATTCTCACAATCGACTTGAGAATGGTCCAGGACGGACCGAAACGTCGTCGTCCCTTCAATTTCTAGTGTGTGGTCTGGTCAACATACTTCAGCCACGTTATTGTGACTCATCGCCTGCATATAATATATTTCTCAGTACTCAACTTGACCGTATATACATAATACAACATATACATATGCATGTTTTAGTAAATGTATAACCTGGCAGCATTTATGTGTGACTCACACGGGGGATGAGATTGATTGATGAAGATTAGGCTACCCAAGAGGTGGCACGGGCATGAATAACCCCATATATAGGTAGGAGGAAGAGGAGTTGTTGTATATGTGGCTTTGTTGTTGTTGTTTCAGATTTAGCTACTCAGAACGAAGTGTCCATGTAGCACGGGCTATGGCGAGCCCGTATATGTGGATGAAACAAGGTGTATATGATTGTTGTGAAGTATCTGAAGTGAGCTGTAACCCAGCTGGAAGGTTGTATTAGGTAGATAACCTCTCCTGAGGTCTAGATAACCACCCATTGACTGATAACCTCTCCTGAGGTCTAGATAACCACCCATTGACTGATAACCTCTCCTGAGGTCTAGATAACCACCCATTGACTGATAACCTCTCCTGAGGTCTAGATAACCACCCATTGACTGATAACCTCTCCTGAGGTCTAGATAACCACCCATTGACTGATAACCTCTCCTGAGGTCTAGATAACCACCCATTGACTGGTTCTAGAGTAAGGAATGGATTCCGTTAAGGTGGCTGCCATATTGGATAGCTCCAGTAATATATTTACTGAATAGCTGTATATCTTTATTGTATTTACTTCACATAGCTGTGAAATATTGTGGTGTAATTTCTATATCGTAGTATTTCGGTTAAAAGATTAATTTTCCTAATTATGTTTCTTATAGATTTAAAGTGTAATTGTCACGTCTGGAGGTGTGTGGTCGCCCTCGGGGGGAAGGATGCCAGATGCTGCCGGAGGTGACGGACGGTTACTGTGGGCCAGATCTCTTTCAAATTCAAATTTAAATTTTATATTCTTAATTTATACTAAGTTACCTACTTGTTTTTGACCTAATATATCTTTCATAATTGTAAAGTGATCCTGGACAGTTTATGGTGATGTATTTGATGTTGGAGATAGTGAGATATTAAGAGAAATAGCCAGTAAAAATTCAGTTAGCCACATACTGGCCCAGAGAGCCATTTTCTATAATATTTTTTCCATGCATTTGGATATATATGTATTCAATGACATGTATTGATGGTATTGACAGTTGACATACTATATATTGAGGTTGATTTATGTTCCAATTAATGTCATTGAGTTGTGAATAAGTGCAAATCCTTACTACGCTAACACATACAATTGTCAATCTGCTCTAAAGCTTTTTTTCTTTCAGTGTTCCAAACTTGCGATGATTTCAGGGTTCATCGTCCCCGCGGCCCGGTCCTCGACCAGGCCTCCCGGTTGCTGGACTGGTCAACCAGGCTGTTGGACGCAGCTGCTCGTAGCCTGACGTATGAATCACAGCCTGGTTGATCCTAAGGAGGTATGTGAATACATCATTTTCATTCAGAAACTTGATGGAATTACCATAAGTATTAATTTGTCTTATGGTATAATATACAAATGCTATTTTTTAATAATATTTTGTATACTTAAATTTGTATATCAATCTTTATACACAGAAATACACACGTATTTTATACACAGAAATACACACGTATTTTATACACAGAAATACACACGTATTTTATACACAGAAATACACACGTATTTTATACACAGAAATACACACCTATTTTATACACATAAATCACAATAGCTTGATGCATTAAATGAACCAATCCACAAGAGCCGTGAAAGAGGATTCGAACGGGATGCTCTCGGACGAAGGTTCGAATCCTCGTCACGGCCCTTGTGGATTTGTTCATATATACTGATGTTGTTGTTGTTTAAGATTCAGCTACTGGGAACTAAAAGTCCCAAGTAGCACGGGCTATGGTGACCCCGCGATGGACTTACCTGGCACAGGAGTGGGGCAAGTAGCACGGTCTATGGTGAACCCGAAGTGGACTTACCTACCACGTGTTCCTGGGATGTGAGGCAACGCTGGTGGTGCCGTTTGGGCTTAGTTTTTCCATCAGCTCCTGATGCATCATAGGCTCAGGTCGCTGAGCCTACAAATATGAAAAAAAGATGATTGGTCCCCAAGCTAAAAAGTTATTTATGGCTTGGGGGACCATTCAAACTTTCCTTCTATATAATATGCATATTTATTTATTTAATATATTATTTTTAACAAAGTTGCATTAATATTCTGTCTCTTTCAGTCTCACTTGTCCCATCAAATACGTTTTCTGTAGTTACTTTTATTCTTAAGTAGGGTCATTTGGTTGTTTCAAGCGTAGGTTAAACATGTGTATGAATGAGATTGGGTGGATATAAGTAGGAGCTGCATCGTATGGGCCAATAGGCCTTCTACAGTCACATTCATTCTTAATGTTCTTAATATGTTCTTATGTTCTCTCCCAGCTAATGCTGAGGCATCTCTTCCCTGAGGAGAAGGGACATCTGGACAAGGGTGGCGACTACCAGGTGGTATAGGATAACTATCCTCGTTATCTTGTGTTATCCTGTTCTTGTTAAATGTTCTCTAATTGTTATGTGTTGTCTCCTATTCCTCGTGTTCTTCTGTTATTATTTGTTCTGGTATAATTATTTTTATTATTAAAATTATTATTACTTTTAATTTATTATACTTAAATAATTTTTAAAGTATTAATTTTTTTGTTATAATTAATGATATTATTACTCCTAAATATTTTATTAAATTTTTTTAAATGTTTTATTATGATTTTTGTAGAATAATTAATATAGTTTTATTTACATAATTATGTACATTATTTGTATTATTATTAATATAAATTTAAAATACTTTGGATGGATATTTGAACTTTTTTTTATCTAGAAAGAACTAACAAACTTTGAAGTTTTATAAGTATATCTTATATTTTTATCTCAGGATCACTTTAGAGATGTGGCACAGTACAGGTTGAGATGTGGCAGAGATATGGCACTGCTCAGGCTGAGATATGGCACTGCTCACGCTGAGATATGGCACTGTTCAGTCAGAGATCTGGCACTGCTCAGGCTGAGATATGGCACTGCTCACGCTGAGATATGGCACTGCTCACGCTGAGATATGGCACTGCTCAGTCAGATCTGGCACTGCTCAGGCTGAGATATGGCACTGCTCACGCTGAGATATGGCACTGTTCAGTCAGATCTGGCACTGCTCAGGCTGAGATATGGCACTGCTCACGCTGAGATATGGCACTGTTCAGTCAGATCTGGCACTGCTCAGGCTGAGATGTGGCACTGCTCACGCTGAGATGTGGCACTGCTCAGGCTGAGATGTGGCACTGCTCACGCTGAGATATGGCACTGTTCAGTCAGATCTGGCACTGCTCAGGCTGAGATGTGGCACTGCTCAGGCTGAGATGTGGCACTGCTCAGGCTGAGATGTGGCACTGCTGCTGAGAGTGTGGCACTGCTCAGGCTGAGATATGGCACTGATCAGTCAGATATGGCACTGCTCAGGCTGAGATATGGCACTGCTCAGGCTGAGATATGGCACTGCTCAGGCTGAGATATGGCACTGCTCAGGCTGAGATATGGCACTGCTCAGTCAGGGGATGTGCCGTGTCTGAGCTGGCTTCGTTTTAGAGTGGACTATGAAAAGCGAAATTTCCTTTATTTTATGTTCCTGTTGGAATGTCTGTGTGGAGTACAATGTTATAATGATCTAATGGTACGATGGTACCGTGGTATAATGACGTAAGTGGTACAATGGTACAATAATATAATGTTAGTGGTACGTTGGTACAATAATATAATGATGTTAGTGGTACAATAGTATAGTTATGTTAGTGGTACAATGGTATAATGATTTTAGTGGTACAAAAGGTGCAGTGGTATAATGAAGTTTGTGGTAAGTTGGTACAATATTATAATGA